CCGGCCCGACGGGAGCCGCTAAGGGAAAAAGTTTCCGACGTCCGTGCACGCGGCGCGCGTGCACCTAATGTGTAATGGACGTGAACAATCACTCGAAGAAGAATTATGCAGTCTGTATGTGTGTACCATTTTTGTATTTGAAGTTATGAATATTGGCTCTATACTGTCTATATGGCAAACTTATGCTATGCTTCTGGGTGACATCCCAGACACGCTGGTGTTAGCTCTGCCTAGCCTGCTTGATGGCCCATTAAGGCCCATCAGCTACAACTGACCCATTGAGAGAAGCAGATACACCTGGTGACTCAGCAAGGCAGGGACAGGCCTATGGACCGAACGCTGAGGATTTTCCAGGCCATGTGCTGGGCAGCTTGTGTTTCAGACAAAGGAAGCAGAGGCCACATGGCAAGAGACCATCAAAGGCTGATGCCTCATCTCCATCTTGTCTTCAATCCTGCTTCTTACCTCTGGAGGAACTTTGCTACAAGCTGAAGCTTTGAACAAAGAACTGAGGACCCATCCCAGCGGGGGATGTTCCAGAGACTTAATTTGAACCTGCAGTTTATTCCATCACTGCTGCAAGCCTGAACCAAGAACTTTGCCATTCCTCTAAAAGAACAGGAGTACTGCCGGGAGTGATTCCTGTGGGAGAAGGGATTCCTGTACCGAGAAGGGGCTGGTTTGGGGCAAACTGAATCTTGGAAAGTCGGGAGGCAGCTGGTGGTTCCCCAGAGGTACCGCCGCAAACTGTTGTTCTTGGCCCACGATATCCCCCTTTCGGGGCATCAGGGCATCCGGCCCACCAGGCAGAGGCTGCTGCAGAACTTTTACTGGCCCGGGGTCTTTGACGCGGTCCGACAGTATTGCAGGACCTGTGACTCCTGCCAGAGGGTGGGGAAGGCCCGGGGTAAGTGCAAAGCCCCACTGAGACCTTTGCCCATCATAGAGGAGCCTTTCCAGAAGGTGGCCGTGGACAGAGTGGGGCCCCTCAGCAGGGTGACCCGGTCAGGGAAGAGAGACATCCTGGTGGTGGTAGATTTCGCTACGCGCTACCCCGAGGCGGTGGCCTTGTCCTCTATCAAGACAGACACCATGGCAGATGCGCTGCTGACCATCTTCAGCAGAGTGGGGTTCCCCAAGGAGGTCCTTACAGACCAGGGGTCTAACTTCATGTCAACCCTGCTCCAGTGCTTGTGGGAGAAGTGTGGGGTCTGACACACCTGGGCCTCAGCCTACCACCCTCAGTCCAACGGGCTAGTGGAGAGGTTCAATGGGACCCTAAAGAGGATGCTGAAAACCTTTATGGACCAGCACCCGCAGGACTGGGACAAGTATTTACCCCACCTGCTGTTCGCATATAGGGAAGTGCCCCAGGACTCCACAGGGTTCTCCCCGTTCGAGTTGCTGTACGGAAGGAGGGTGAGGGGGCCCCTGGACTTGATGAGAGCCGAGTGGGAGGGAAAGGCCTCTCCCGATGGGGAATCGGTGGTGGAGTATGTACTGACTTTCCGGGAAAAGCTCGTGGAGCTCATGGGCTTGGCTAGGGGGAACCTAGCAAGGGCCCAGAGGAAGCAGAAGGTCTGGTACGACCGCTCAGAACGTGCCCGCTCATATGCTACTGGGGATCAGGTGATGCTCCTCACCCCCGTGAGGAAGAACAAGCTGCAAGTGGCTTGGGACAGCCCCTTCACGGTCATCAGACAGGTAAACGAGGTGAACTATGTGGTGGAACGGTCCAACCGGGCTCACAGCCACCGGGTGTATCACGTCAACATGATGAAGCCGTACTGGGCCAGGGAGAAGTTGGTGCTGGCTGTGTGTGGGCAGGGGGAGGAGAAGGAAGAGGACCCCCTGGTGGGACTCCTCCCTGAGGCTGGGGCTAACCCCTCGCTGGAGTCAGTTCCCCTCTCAGACCAGCTAACCCCTGCCCAGCAGGCAGAGATCAGAGCCGTGCTGCATTCATACCAGCAGCTGTTCTCCAGCCGGCCTGGGCTCACTAACCTGGCTGTCCACCGGGGGGGAGACGGGAACCAACCCTCCCATCAGGTGTTCCCCATTCAGGGTCACTGGGAAAACAGCCCAGGACCTGGAGAGAGAGGTCAGGGACATGCTGGCTTTAGGGGTGATCCAGCCGTCCGCCAGTCCCTGGGCCTCACCCGTGGTGCTGGTCCCCAAGAAGGACGGGTCGATCCGGTTCTGTGTGGACTATCAGAAGCTCAATGCCATTACCGTGTGCGATGCCCACCCCATGCCTAGGACCGATGAGATCCTAGACAAGTTGGGGGGTGCCCGGTACCTCACTACCATGGATCTTACCAAAGGCTACTGGCAGGTGCCTTTGGACCCGGAGGCCAGGGCGAAGTCCGCCTTCACCACCCCAATAGGGCTCTTCGAGTTCCTGGTCCTGCCTTTCGGCCTCAAGGGGCACCGGCCACCTTCCAGCGCCTGGTGGATCAGTTACTCAGGGGGATGGAGGGCTTTGCTCTAGCGTATATTGACGATATCTGTCTCTTTAGCCAGACCTGGGAGGAACATGTGTCCCAGGTGAAGAGAGTGCTGGGTCGCCTCCAGGATGCAGGACTGACCATAAAAGCTGGAAAGTGCAAGGTGGGGATGGCAGAGGTTTTATACCTGGGCCACAAGGTTGGGGGTGGCCACCTGAAGCCGGAGCCGGCCAAGGTGGAGGCCATCAAGGCCTGGCCCGCCCCCCGGACTAAGAAGCAGGTCCAGGCTTTCATTGGGATGGCGGGGTACCACCGGAGGTTTGTGCCCCACTTTAGCTCCTGGCAGCTCCCCTCACGGAGCTGTGTCGGAAGGGAAAGCCGGACAAGGTGGTCTGGACCGAGCAGTGCCGGAGGGCTCTCTGTGCGCTGAAGGGGGCACTTATCCAGGGCCCGGTGCCGGGAAACCTGGATTTTAACAAACCCTTCCTGGTGTTCACCGACGCCTCGGACACAGGGCTGGGGGCGGTGCTGATGCAAACTGATACTAAGGGGGAGAGACACCCCATTGTGTACCTGAGCGAGAAGCTGCTGCTCCGGGAGAAGCACTACGCAGCTATCGAGAAGCAATGCCTGGCCGTGGGGTGGGCCCTTAACAAACTGCAGCCGTATCTATGTGGGCGGTGCTTCACCGTGTGCACCGACCATTCGCCCCGACGTGGCTGCACCAAATGAAAAGGGCTAATGCCAAGCTGCTGAGGTGGGCCCTGCTCCTCCAGGGGTGTGACATGGAGGTGGTCCATGTGAGGGGGAGGGCCAATGTTATAGCGGATGCTTTATCGCGGGGCGGGGACCTGAACTTCCCCAGGTCACTGTTCAGCCTCGAAGGGGGGAGAGATGTGACGAAGTGGGGGGTTTCTTGTTTTCTGTGGAGTTTCAATGGTTTGCATGCGGAGGGGGTGGGACTCAGTTTCCCTGGGTGTTACTGGTTTAACGAGGGGAGGGGAGAGGGAGTTTGTTGTTGCAGAGGACCGGAGAGGGAACTTGGGACCCCAGCCAATGGCCGGGAGGATGGATACCCCAGCAACCGGTGACCTGAGACCCCAACCCAGATGCCCAGCTGAGGAGACGCAGCCGGTTCTGGCCAGTGGGCGGACAATGGGCTGCAGAGTGAGGACCCAGTGACCTAACCAGCCGGTTCCAGACAGAGGACAGAAGCAGGAGAGGAGGCCCCGGTTTACGACCCTGTTTCCCTGGAGAGAAGACAATGGACAGAGGTGGGGGCTGGGGCCGGTGATCTCAGATGCCCAGCTGGGAGCAGGGGGGCTCTGGGCTGGAGAGGGGGAGCAGGCAGAGCCCACCTGGATGCAGAGAGACTGGGATGTGCTGGGCTGAGAGAGGCCAGGCCTGAGGCTCTGAGAGTTTCCTGTGCTGTGTTCAACTCTCAGTCAACTCTCCTGTTTCATGCTGGCTGAGAGTCACTCCGGTCTAGAGCACAGGGTTGCATCAACCCCTTCGGGGGTGGAGGCCCCGGGGGTCCAGAGCGAGTGGACTCCCTGAGGGGGCCCACGGCAGAGACAGACGTGCTCAGGCTCAGAGAGGTGCGGCTCCAGGCGGTGGAGGGGCCTGACCCCAAGAGAGAGTGGACCCCCGAGAAGGGCTGTCACACTGAAAGGGGCACCCCCCAGGGACCGTGCGGGGCCAAGAGTGGGCACCACCTGTGAGTCCATGACAAATATACAAACAATTAACTTAAAAACTTGAAAATAAATTAATTGTAGTGTGAAATTATCTTGCTACATCGCAGATTCATCGGAGGACCCACTTCAACAATTTCTGATAAGGGGTGCAAGAACATATTTTGAGAACCAAAGGGGTGTAGGCTGCAGTAAAGGTTAAGAATCACTGCTCTAAGTGAATTGCTTGTGTGACTTGTGGTTAGCCAGTAAAGTGAAATAAATAAATAAAATTAAATAATGGAGATAGTCTATGATAGGATATCAGGGTTGGAAGGGACCTCAAGAGGTCATCTAGTCCAACCCCCTGCTCAAAGCAGGACCAATTCCCAACTAAATCATCCCAGCCAGGGCTTTGTCAAGCCTAACCTTAAAAACCTCTGTGGAAGCAAGGAAGGAGACTCCACCACTTCCCTAGAGAACCCATTCCAGTGCTTCACCACTCTCCTAGTGAAATAGTGTTTCCTAATATCCAACCTAAACCTCCCCCACTGCAACTTGAGACCATTACTCCTTGTTCTGTCATCTGGTACCACTGAGAACAGCCGAGCTCCATCCTCTTTGGAACCCCCTTCAGGTAGTTGAAAGCAGCTATCAAATCCCCCCTCATTCTTCTCTTCTGGAGACTAAACAATCCCAGTTCCCTCAGCCTCTCCTCATAACTCTCGTGCTCCAGACCCCTATCTCCTAGAACGGACCTTGAAAGGTCATTGAGTCCAGCCCCCTGCCTTCACTAGCAGGACCAAGTATTGATTTTGCCCCAGATCCCTAAGTGGCCCCTTCAAGGATTGAACTCACAACCCTGGGTTTAGCAGGCCAATGCTCAAACCACCGAGCTATCCCTCTGCCCAAGTTTTCTCTGGCTGGCTGGTTTGGTTTGCCTTAGAGGTGGAAAAACCCCAGCCTTGGGCTGTAACTGCCCTGCTCTGAGCAATTTGTCCTGAATCGGCACTCTCCGTTGGGTCCCGCCAGAACCAGCATCGTTACGGGGGGTTCCGCGGGTGAACAGGGCACTGGGGTAGAGAGGCGAGCGGGAGGCCAGGGACCCCATCGGAACAGGTTCCGGACAAAGTTGGTGACGACCTCGGTGGCCTTGCTGATGAAGCCGGCTAGCAGGGGGGAGGGCCACCTCGATCAGCTTCGCCAGGGCCGGTTCAATCCATGACCGGTTCCGGATCTCCTTGATCTGCTGCTGCAGGCACGAGATCTCGTTCTCCATGTGTCCAGCCTTCTCCCGGAGCCCCTCCCTCCTCAGGTCCTTCAGCTCCTGCGGGGCAACGAGAACTTGAGGGGGATCCCCAGCCTACCCCACGGGACAGCCCCCACCCCATGGGCAGGGAGGAGTGATGGCAACAGCGTGGGGCTGGCCTGGGGGGGGAATGGGGACCCAGGGCAGGGGGGCCAGAGTGTGTGGGTCCCTGCCGCCCCCTGCTGGAGGGTACAGGCCCTGCTCTGTCTGTGCACACGCTGTTCCCCACACTGAGCCCCCCAGCAATCCCATCTCTGGGGGATCCGCCCCACGGGCCCATCTAGCCCGGTATCCCGCCCCGGCCTGCCATTTGCCAGCGCCCCGGCTGCCCCACGCATGGGAGTCCCCCCTTGGGCAGGCTGAGGCCGGTGGCAGGGGCGCCCTTGCCTGGGCTGTGCCCATCCTGCCCCCTTAGCACCTGTGCCCCCCCCCGGTACCTTGAGTTTCTGATCCACCATCTTGTGCTGCTCCTCCAGCAGCTTCTTCCTCTCGCCGTCCAGCTTCTCCTTCAGCTGCCGCACGTGCTCCTGGTAGCTGCATTCCTGGTCCTCCCGCTTCTGCTGCAGCTCAGCCTCCTTCTGCTGCAGGACCTGCCGCTCCCGCTCGGCCGCCTCGGCCCGGGCTCGCTGGGCTGGCACGGGGAGAGAGAGGTGGGTCAGCACGGGGAGGGCCACGGTGACTCTGCCTGCCGGGGCTGCAGCCCAGTCCCCTCTCCCCCGTCCCAGCAGCACCACATCCCCCGGTGTGTACCTGCCATCTCCTTCTCCTTCTCCGTCAGGACCACGTCCATCTGCAGGATGGACTGGGCCGCGACCTCCTTGGACTTGAGGAACTTCTGCAGCACCTCGTCGGCCTGGGGATGGAGAGTGGGAGCCACTGGTCAGGAGGGCTTGTCCCATAGGGCTGGATCTGGGTCGGGATTCTGGATTGCAGCACTGGAGAGTAACAGGGGACTGGCTGGCTTGAAGGGGGGTGGGCGCTGGGACACGGGGCCTTTCCCCTCTAGGGGACACCAGCTCCCATCCAGCCCCAGAGTCAGCATTTGGTTTCCACTCGACACCCTCGGCGCCTGTTCCAGATGAGCTGGGGGCCGAACCTGGTTTTTAACAGGACAAGGGCGATAACTGGCCCCACACCAGCAGCCCCAGCAGAGCGGCCGAGGGCTGGAGGGGCCACGGGAACCAGGCACCCCGGCACGTTGGCAGTGGGGATGGCTGTGAGGATGGGGTCGGCTCACATTCTGATGCTGCCCTGCTCTGGGAAGGATCCAGGAACTGCCCAGGTGGGGGAAGCTGATGCCTGGTTCTCAGCAGGGCTTCCTGGGCCACACAATGAGGGGGCACAAAGACACAGAGCCGGGCACCAGCCCTCTCCTACCTTTACCCCCTTCCCTGGCACCTGCCAGTATCTCTCCACCATCCGCTGCCGGTCGTCCAGGAAGCACTGGTAGCTCCCAGGCACTGAATAGACCCCCTGGCCGATCCGGTTATCCAGCTCGTCCCACAGCTCCTGCAGGGCAGCCGTGCAGCGGTCCGAAGATGCCAGTTCGTTCCGGCGGCAGAGCTCCTGCTTCTGCTCCTCCAGGCGGCGCTGCCAGGTTGGGCACAGACAGGGCAGGCGTGAGCCGGGGAGGGGCATAGACAGGGCAGGGTACGAGCCGGGGGGGAGGGTAGGAGCCAGGGCAGGGTATGAGCCAGGACAGGGCCCAAATGGGGCAGGAATGTGAGCCAATCTGCATGCGCCCGGGGCTGGAGATTGCTTGTGACTGCAGCTGGGTGTGTCCCTACCTGTGTGATGCTGGTGAAAGTGCATCTGGGGGGCTTTGCAGCTTGTCACAGCAGCAGTGTGAGAGGGAGCCCAGGCTGGTGGGACGGGGGGCTCTGTGATATCCCAGTTCCAGGTGGCTCCCCAGGGGGGAACCTATCACACCGGGGCTGGGAGATCCCTGGGAAAGGGGATCGGGGAGCCCCAGCCCCGCCCATCCCGCAGAGGGGCAGCTATCCCATTACCCCTGGGGCCAGCGCGAGGGGCCGTACCATGAGCTCCCCTTGGAAGCGGCAGTCGTCGTCCTTGAAGGCACGCGCCATGAACGCCCGCAGCGCCTCCCGCTCGCACTGGGCGTGCAGCTCCAGCAGCTCCTTCACGGTCTCCGTGGGCAGTGCCGCCTGCCGCCTGAGCTGCTCCTCGTAGACAGCCACGGCCTCCACCACCGCCGCCGAGTTCTCGATCTGCGCCAGGGCCAGCACCGCGCTCTCCACGCAGGGAACCGCCCCGCTGCGGATGGTGTCCACGTAGGTCACCGCCAGGTTCCCCAGCACTGTCGGAGAGGGACAAGGTCAGTGCCAGGT